GTCGACCGCGAAGGAGAAGAGAAGAGCTGCCAAATTTGGCCGCAGCCTGCTGCGCAGCGCATCCAAATTCCAATTTCGCTCGATTCAAAAAATGATCAGGTTGTCAAAACACTCAACGTGACCTGATGGTTATGGTAGATGCCGAGACTGGTCACGACCGATACTCAGTTGATTTAGATTATGACAAAGTCGCGCCAACAGCTGGCTTTTGCGACTTGTTTCGATTTGATCAAGATCTTGCCAAATCAGACAAACAAAAATTGCTGTGGACTAATAGTATACAGTACCGGCTGCTACAAGCTGTCGATATTGGGTACAGCTGTTTGTGGGTTCAATCCCCATGGTGTTGCCCTTTTGCTGAAATTTTGAAGTAAAATTGAGAAGTACATCTCAGAGATGTGTCAGTGCCATCATTGTTACATGATGACCCTCTTTGAGCTTTTTGGGGGTAAGGAAAAAAAAAGTTTTTAAAAGACTTGTGCTTTTTTTGTATCATGAGGTAAAACCATCCAAGCTCAAAAAAAACATGAAGGCGACTCAAACACACGCCGAGCTGTGCATCACATCTGGGCAGATGTCACGCCTTACTGTTTGCACCAAGAAAGCTTGGATGATATGACGTCCAACACCATGTCATTCCGGTCGCAAGTCGGCTGTCTGCACAATCTCAACGTAATGAGCTTAATACTGATTGTAACTAATCTCAATAGTTGCCATAAGACAGTCACAAATTGCCATAAGACAGTCACATCAATTTTTTTGACAACTCGATCATTTTTTGGATCGAGCAAGATTTGAATTCGGATGCGCTGCGCAGCAGGCTGCGGCCAAATTTGGCAGCTCTTCTCTTCTCCTTCGCGGTCGACCCGGTCAACCTTTTTAGCAAAGGTAGTACAACCAAAGTTACGCTTGTTGGCTGCTTCAGGAGGTAGGTCCCAAACACCCGGACAATTCAGACATAGCGTGGTTAGATTGTCACAAAAAGAGAGCACTTTGAGCAGATTCTCGCGACCGAGGCCGTATGATTTGCGGAGCAGGCTGTCCTTTGTAACGCCAGGTGTGTCTCGAGCAATACCGCAAGAGCACCGCACTATGTTGCAGTTGCGGTGCGGTTGTTTAGCGCTTTTGGGCGCCGCAATAGCAACACAATATAGTGCGGTGCCAGCGCTCCACAATCCAGGTTCAAAAAACCCCTTGGTCAGAAACCCGCACCGCAATTGCGGTCGGTTTTTGACGGTTATTTAGGGCAAATATTGCGGAAATAGGGCAATATTGCGCATTTTCCGCAATATTTGCCCAACCGCTCCGCAACGGCAAGTTAGAAAAAAAAACACCCCATTGTGGAGTGGTTGCGTAGCGTAATAATGCGCCGACTGCGCAACGCAATGGAAATAGGTCGAAATCCATTGCGTTGCGTAGCGCTTGCGGTGTTGTCTCGAGTATAGACATCCAAGTTGTCAGAATGAATCTCCTCAACCTGCCAATAGTCCTTATTCTGTTGAATAAATTTGATTTTATTGACATCAGATGACCGCAGCGAGTCGCGGTTTCCAGTTTGGTCTCTGGTGGCTTTGTTGATAGATGAGTCTTCGGGTTTATAGAACCAATTGTATCTTAAACCCACGTCTAGTCGTTCAACATTACATCCGTGCTTCGGTAAGATCTCCTGATTCCAGACCGACATCGGACCAGATAATGAAGGAAATTGAAGAGACTAGAGCATCAGAGCAGACACCGGTAGCGTTGGCAAAGTCAGGTGCTACAATCAGCATTAGAAGATAGTGATCGGACCCATTCGCTTCAATAAGTCAACGCTAACTGACCTCCCATATCATAGGCTGACACACTGCATAAATCCTGCGATTGACAAGGGAAAAAGATTGAAGATCTGACATGATCGGACATTCAGGATTATGCTGATAGAGCCATAGTCTTGTTTTCTCTCCCGATTCGAGATTGACTCCTTGTTTCATCTTCTTGCGGAAATTCTTTTCAAGTTTGCGAGAGTCATCATCAAGGTATTCTATGATTTTACGAAGGAGCTTGTTTGGTAGGCGACAGAGTAAGTCCTCATGAGTCTCGGATACTGTGGCAGATACTGCTTCGGTTCGGGGAGCTCGCTTCTTTCCTTTCCTCTGGTTCTTCATTTTGATTGATTGTTGGGGTTCAGGGGTTCCTGCTTGACGCTCAGAGTCACAGCGATGGTTATTTTTTCAAAAAACCCAACAGCGTGTGCAAAAGTGACATGGGAGACAAATGTACCGAGTCCGAGTCGCACTTGGTCACCACTCCGGCAGCCCAAACTATTCACTTCTTGGACAGATCTGAACAACTAATACCAAACTGCCCACTTCGAAAATTCCTCCATTGGATAGGGGTTGAAGAAGACAAAAAATGTGAAACCTACAGAGTAACGGAGTCACCAAACCATCCACTTTATTTATCTATGGGTTATCTGAGGAGGTGTTTTCCTTAGTGTGTGTAAAGCAAGTTCATAATAATGAATTACTTTGAGTCTACTGGTTTGCCCTAGGCCAATCCCTGACGCGCAGCGCACTACACTGCGCGAAAACTGCACTGCGAGGGGCCACATCGCAGCGCAATCCTCTGAAAACCCCACTGCGCCATTCAGCACCGCCGGGGCTTGGTGGTTTTCAGGCCACTGCGCAGAATCACACCGCATTGCAGCACAGTGTGCGCAAACTGCGCGGCCCTGTGCGACCCCAAGGGTATACCACTGCCACTGGTATACCCTGCCTCCACTTTGACCAAAGCAAGGATGACCTTCCCCTTGCATCCAAATCTAGCCAATATGACACCACCACCACGATCGGCTTGTGTCAATCTAGCTATTCGACTTGACCCCTCCTCAATCAACGGCATGGATTTCCGGATAATCATTCATAATCATCAAAGCCCATCCTATCAGTTGAACGAAGGCGCCATAGTCATTCTAATTCAAGATTATATTTCGTATCACCATTTCGACCTTTATTCTCTTTCACCATTTGATCTATCCTTCTTCAAACAATTGGAATCTCATATATTGTCTCCTTTATATTCATACAAAATCAAAAGAAACACAAACAAATCAAGCTCTTCTAAGTCATCCACATCCAAGTTTAAATCTTCAAATGCTTCTCAAATAACTTTGTCCTCCAAATCTTCTTCTACCTTGCGTAATGCTGCTCCTATGGCTAAGGCTGAGTTGAAGAAGGTTATATCGATCAAATCCGACCAAGAAGATGACCAACACAAAGATCCAAACTTTGTCACCGAAGACAAAGATGAAGATGAGGAAAATCGACAGGAACCTGAACTTGAAGATAATCCTTCAACAGCACTGTCAATCCTGCCGATGGAAAGCGCACTCGAAAAGTCCCAGTTAAAGCTTTGGTTCAAAAGAAATCTGCTGGATCTAAGCGTAAGAAGCAGGTAAATCATTTCAAACTTGCTTTTTTTGTTTCAATCTCATTCTCTTACACTTACTTTATTTTTGTTCCATCCTCATATCTTCTTTTGCCTTGTCCCCCAAGTCGAAGAACTACAAATTACCCGCCAACATCGACCCAGATCAAGGCTCAGATATCGAAGAAATCCCACCTCCTGCTGAAAAGCCCAAAGTTGTCTATGACACTCCTAAGCTATACTTCTCTTGTCCATTATGGGAAAGATGAAGACGGGAATCTGAAACCTCCGGCAAGGTCATCTTCTTATGTTTCATTCAATCTTCTTTATTTTGTTTCATTATAATGACTTGCAAACATTGTCTGAATTCTAGATACCTGGCGAAAAGCCATGGTATCACACATGCTTATGGTGCGACGGGGAGTACAAGATCAATGCGCAGAGCAAGTTCAACTTGAGGGGACATCGTGATGGAGACCTTGGTTGAAAACCTTGCAAAGGGCGAGACGAAGCGATTGCAGCCAGTGCAAATCTTCCGCCAACATATCAGGAAGAAGAAGAACAAAGAATGGCTGCAGAAAATGCTCAGAAGCATCATCATGAAAAGGCCTCACTTGCCAACTTTTTAAATTTACCAAAGTTTTCTGTTTCATTATTAAACATGATTCTTGTTCTTTGGCTTTTAAGAAACTGTATCCCTTGGCTTCGGATGGAAGACCCTTATCTTCAAGCTGCCTTTTCTTTATGCAATTCAAATGCTACTCTTTGGTCGGCATCGTGGTCGGCTCGTCATGTGATGGAGTATTTCAAGGAATTTTGTGGTAACTTGGTTAAAACCCTTCAGGTCAGTTTCTCAATTCTCTTCTAATCTTTCCTTTATTCCTTTTACCATAACTGACTCAGCCATTACATTCATAGGCTCTTGACTCGAAAGTCTGTGTCATACACGATGTATGGACCACCAAAGGTGGTAAACGTGCCTTCATTGGAGTTGCGGTGTCCTATATAGATGAGGACTGGGAGTTTCATGTCACTCATTTGACATTGAAACTAATCGCATGGAATCATTATGGAGCTTTATTAGCTCGACCTGTAGGGAAATTCCTTATCCGACATGGTCTTCATAAAAAGATCAGTCTCTTTTCTCTTTTGGTTTCTCTCGATTTCTTCATCTTTATTTGTCTGTTGCTAATTATTTTATAACTATTCTCCAACTATACATGATAGCGCAGACGACCGACTCAGGATCAAGCAACCCAATATTGGCGACCGAGCTTCAAAAGATGTTTGCGG